GTTCCTCTCTGTTATGGGTTGAATTGTATCCCCCTAGAAGTGATGTTGAAGTCCTAACCTCTTGTACCCTCTGACTTTGTAGATGTAATGAAGATAAGATGAGGTCATTCGGTGGACCCTAATCCAATTGACTGGTGTCCTTATAAGGAGAGGAAATGTCATATGGAGACAGAGAAGGAGAACGCTGTGTGACGACAGGCAGAGACTGGAGTGAGGGAGCTGCAAGCCAAGGAATGTCAAGGACTGACAGCCGCCACCAGAAGCGGGGAAGAGGCGAGGAAAGATTCTCCCCAGAGTCTCAGAGGGAACACAGCCCTACCGATGCCTTGATTTCAGACTTCTAGCCTCCAGACCTGTGGAAGAAAACATTTCTGTTGTTTTAAGCCATCCAATTTGTAGTACCAATTTGTTACAGCAGCCCCCCTGCCCTGGCTCAGGCCTCTGCCCCTCACCCACCTCACTTTCCTCCCCCAGGCTCGCCCTTAGGAACCAGGCTCAGCCTGCAGCCCAAAGCCATCCTCTGCTCCATGGACCCTGCTGCCCTTGGGGAGAAGCCGTGCTACTGCTGGCCTCTGTGGCTTCGCACATGCTGTTCCCTCTACTGTGTGGCCCCCTTCCCTTTGCAGGACTAACATTGCTCTGTGTTTTCAAAACAAGATCTGCTGCCTCCCCCTGCATCCTTCCGTGATGTCCCAGCCTCCAAGCCAGCTTAGGGCCCCAAGCTCCCACAGCTGCCTGTGTTTCCCCATCTTAGCACGGCTCGCCCAGGACACAACTGGTGATTGGCTTGTCTGCGAGCCCTGGTGGTGGCTCCTCCAGATTGGGGACTGGGTCTTATTGGCACAATTGGCCTCCAGTGCCTGGCACACCATAGGTTCTTAATAGATTGGCTCGCCCAGGACACAACTGGTGATTGGCTTGTCTGCGAGCCCTGGTGGTGGCTCCTCCAGAATGGAGACTGGGTCTTATTGGCACAATTGGCCTCCAGTGCCTGGCACACCATAGGTTCTTAATAGATGTTGAAAGACAGAAGAAAGAAAGAAAGAAAATAGAAAGGACGGAAGAGAGGGAGGAGGAAGGGAGGGAGAAAGAGAAAAAAGAAGGAAGGAAGGGAGGAGGAAGGGAGGGAGAAAGAGAAAAAAGAAGGAAGGAAGGGAGGAGGAAGGGAGAAAATATGAAAGGAGGGAGAGAGAGAGATTTTCCACCTGTGTAGGCCTTCCAGGGCATACTTGTAACTGACTAGGGACCCATATCCTTGCGAATAGTGTCAAAAGACATAATTACAACCAATTGACTTTAAAAGATATAGGAGAGAGAGAGATTTTCCACCTGTGTAGGCCTTCCAGGGCATACTTGTAACTGACTAGGTACCCATATCCTTGCGAATAGTGTCAAAAGACATAATTACAACCAATTGACTTTAAAAGATATCATTTGGCTTTATTGGCAATCTTAGAATCAGGCAACAATTCATTCCATAAAATAGAATAAATTTTCTAGAGTTCAGCAGTGAAGTTTGGCTTTACAGACAGAAAAGGGGCTGAAGAAAACAGAAATAAAGAACAAAAAGCAGATCGGTCATTTCAAAGTCACATTCCTCGTAAGGTAGGGACAGGGAGACAGAACAACAGAAAAATAACTGATTGGTTAACATGAGGCTACTTCTGGTTAAGGATTAAAACAGAGGGAACTTTATTATCATGTCAACTGAAGATTGTAAGTGGCCTGTTTGGGAAATTGGCTATTATCTCTCTCTCCTGATTTCTCAGAAGATCAGATAATAACTTAATTTTCATTTGGTGTTGGGGACCCTCAGCATGAGTGACTCCACCTGATTTTTAGTCTGGTCTGTTGGGGCCTAGTGCAGGAGCTTAGTCTAAAACAATGGCCTCCTATCATTTTTATTTAACAAGGATAACACATTAGCCAGCAAGCACACATGTAGGAATGAGCTCATTGGGTGAAAACCAATGTGACACTGCGATGGGATACAGGTCAGGCAGTTTTGACAGGGTTGGGTACAGGGAGGGAGCTGGTGGCGCTTGCTTGGAAGAGTGACCAGACCCCAGGCAGGCTGGGAACAACCCAGGGGCACTGAGAGAGGTAGAAAAACCAAAAAAGGGGGGGAGGTCCTTCCCATCTTCCTTTGTCAATCCATCTTTGGTAAGCTTTTATTGAACACCTACTGTGTGATAATGCATCACAATGGTTTTATCGAGCACCTACTGTGTGGTAATGCATTGCAATGGTTGTGAAACAGGGGAGCACTCAGATCTTGGCTCAGCTCCCCAAAATCTTGTACTGAATCCAGGTCCAGCTGCCTGCCCCCAGACAAATAAACAAACAACCCAAAAGTCAAATGCTGATGAAGATGGAAGTCAGTTTTTATTCAGGAATACCAGTGACCTGAGGATAGATGTTAGGCTAATCCATGTCTCTTGTAAACCTAAAGGAGAATGGCCGGACTAAAGTCATCTCAAAGACTCAGATTTACTGAGGGTTTTTTAAAGTGGGGCTTGAGGGAATGGAACGCGGGAAACGAAAAGCAGGAGGGAGAGAGATATGAGCCACAGGGTCTCTGCACAAGAGGCCAGGTGCAAGTCTCGCCAAGACTCCATCTGGCCTCTGCTCCTGTCCTTGCTGTTTCTCAGGGTCCTGCTGGAGGGGTGGAATCAACATAGTTTTATTAATGTCTTCTTTGGTTTCCCAGGGTCGCGATAGTACGTGCAAGTCTGTAAGTCTGCAGCTTCAGGCTGGCTGGAAAGCAACTTTACAGTTATGTAAATAATGTCATCTTGCCCCGTAACCAAGGTTCAAAATATCAAATAGCCATGGAAGAAGAGGGAACTCAGAGAAATGCATGCCAAGAAAAAAAACTGTGTAGTTTGAAAATCTGCCTACAGCCCATGTGGTTTTAGGTCCCAAATGTCTTCAGTCCTGCTCACTCCAACAGGTGCTGAGGTGGGAGTGTACAATGATGAACCAGACCCTCAAGGAGCCCAAGGGATGGGGGTAGTTGTGACATGATCACAATAGCTGGGAGCTAGAACATGACAGTGGAGGTGGGGATTCAGTTCCCAGCAAATTAAACAAATCAGAAAGGACTGTGCAGAAGAGGAGGCATTTGAAACAAGCCTTGAGGGAGGCAGAGCTTGGGACTCAAGGCGTTGCAAGAAAGGGCCTTCCAGGGGGAGGGAACAGAAGAAAAAGCTGGAAAGGAAATGGAGAAGAGACAAGGGGCCTGAACTGCGAAGGAAGAATAGCAGGAGAAATCAGCTCAGGAAACATCCACAAGGGCCTTGCAGTCCAGGCGAAGGGGTTTGCAGTTTCTCCTGAGGGTAGCAAGGAGCCAAGGGGGGCTTTAGAGCAGGGGAGGGATGTACTCAGAAACCAGCTTCAAGAAGATGAGCAAGAGATGTGGGGGGCAGGGACCTGGGTCAGGGGTGGGTGGACAAGGGCCTCTGTCAGGGCAGGAGTAGGGGAGAATCCCTGAATTTGCCACTGGTGGCTAAAGCTCCAGTTTGAGGGTTTCTGGGGAGCTGGAGGGGGGTCCTGCCCAGCAGGAGAGGCAGATCTGCTCCAGTTACCCTCATGCAAGCTAAGGGGAGACCTTCACATCACAAGGCTTAGCAAGGCCACCCATATGCATGCTCTTCCTGGTGCCAGGTGGGTGGATCACAGTGTCCTGAGTAAGCACCAGGTCTGGGCAGTCCTGGTTGCTGCATGGCCTCAGGCACACTGTTTCCCTCTGCCAGGCTCTGTCAGCTGGGGGAACAGGCTGGGGCTCTCAGAGTACAGGAAGCCTTTGCCCTAGAACCTGACGTGGAGCCCAACAAATGGTCCCCAAAGAGAGCAGAAGCTGCAGCTGCCCTGCCTGTACCCCCAGCCTCACCACTTTCCAGCTGCAGTACCTGCTTTCTCCAGCCTCCAGAGTTGTGTACACAGCAGGCAGGAGTGCCAGCAGGATTAATAGCCCCTGAGCGCCCTCAACCAAAGACCATTCAACCATCTGGAGTTGGTGTATAAATATCCCAGCTTCCTCCCGCTCAGGCAGGAAGACTCTAGGGGCATGTTCCACACTGTCCCCTGCAAGTCCCCTATTGGGATTGAGCCCTTCCTCACTTCCTCGATACCCGTCCCTATACTGCTGCCTTCTGTCCTCTGTCTCACGGCCCCACTGCCCTACTTGGTTGTCCTGGGTTCACCTCCCAAATAAACTCCTTGTCCTATACTCCTCACCTCAGAGTCTGCCTCTGGGCAACCCAGACTAAGACAAGTGCCACTTGTGTGCCAGGCTCCAAGCACACGGAGTGATCTCACGTGTTCTTGTCTTGGGTTCTGGCTTTCTGTTTGTCCAGGAGTGGTGGGGGCAGACATAGCCAGGAGTCCCCCTTCACCTACTATCCTGGCCTCCAGGCCAGGTGTGGCCCAGCTCAGGGGTACACATCTACCTGCTTGGGTCTGGGCCTGGAAAAATCCCTTCCTCAACCCAGAAACCATGTGACCTAACAGTTCTGATGCATCAGGGGCAGTGGCTCTGGACATGTCAGGTGGTAGATGGAGCCTGGGACATGGGGTACGATGACAGTGACTTCCAGGCCACTGTAGAGGGGTGGCCTGCCCTGGCTTAAGGAGGTGTTTGATGGGACCACAGGTAGAGGGTGGGGGACTGAGAGGCAGAGGGGAGAGCAGCTCCCATCCGTGTGACAGCAGGTGGTGTCAATTTCAACATGCCCACATCAATGCCATGAGGCAATCATCACTGTCCTCATTTGAACCCAGGGCAGTCTGTCCAGAGGCCAGTGCCTGGGGCATCTAGCAAGGAATGGACCCTGCCAGTCATGCTGAGGCTAGATAGGAAGTGATGGGATTTCTGGGCGGGCGTAGGTGTGGGCGGGGTTGTCAGATGGGCAAAAGGCAGGAGACTTGGAGGGAGCCACAGAGCAGGGCCTCGACCCAGGAGCAGTGAGCTGAACCCCAACCCCAACTTTGTGGGCAGCATGAGTGGACAAGTGGGTGACCTGAGCCCATTGCAGAAGAAGTTGCTGGCCCAGGTAAGTGGGAGAGCCCTACACCAGCCTCAGTTTCCCCTTCTACTCCAGGAGGGGCATGATCTGAGGCCCTTGAGGTCCCTCAGAGCTCTGCAGCTTTGGGTCTCTTCCCAACCCTGAGGGTCTTGCTGGCCAGAGGTTACACCAGCACTAGCCCAAGAGAAATATAACATGAACCACAAACGCAAGCCATGTATGTCATTTTAAATTTTCTAGTAGCCACATTGGAAAACTAAAAGAAAAATTAATTTTAATAATGTTTTATTTAACATTATTAGTAGCCAAATTATTATCGCTTCAACATGTACTCGATATATAGAAATTATGGCTGAGGTTTTTTTTTTATGCTGAGTCTTTAGAATACTGTATCTTACACTCACGGCAGATCTTGATTTGGACTGTCCAGGTTTTAAGCATTATGTGGCTACCACACTGAATAGCACAGGTGAGACCATATACATGACAGGTCACATCCTCAGCTGCAAGCTGGAGGTGGCAGGAGTGGAGGGGGGGACAGGGGACGTGCTCTCATCTAGCCTGGGAGGAGTCCCCAGAGGTCATTAGGATTTCTTCCTTGTGCTTGCACACAGCAAGCGTGAGCTCCAGGGAGACTCACACACTTCTGTGAGCACAAAGGAAATGACTGGATCACAGAGGCCCTGCCTCCTGCCCTCCAAGGGTTCAGCAATGGGAAAAGGCCATTCTGCCCAGGACAGGGTTAAGTCCTCTCCCAAGACGAGGCCCATTTCCAGCCTCAGTTTCCTCACTTAGGGAATGGATACAGTAGTAGTATCACGTCAGGATTAATTCAACGCTTAGCCCAGAGCCAAACACACCCTCATGGTCCTGAAGACAAAGGTAGTTGGCTCATTTGGGGTTGGGGGCCCAGAGAAGGTCCTCTGAGACCCCATTTGGAGGCCCAGGAGAACAAGACCCAGAGAGAAGGAAGTGACTCAGGCAAGGCCACACTGGGACTGCTGACTCTTTGTCCAGTGCTCTTTCCTCAACTACATTCATTGTGTTGGAGGCTGGCTTTAGCCCACAGTCAGCGACATCCATGCAGAAGCAACATCTCAACCCTCAGACCCTTCAGGGTGGGCTTGGGGCCGCTGAACTGCCTCAACCATCTCCTGGGGCCTGTCTGTGGAGGAGCCTCTCTCCCACCAGGCTGAGCCACCCCTCCTTTGGGGCAGGATGATGGGCTCTAAACTAAATTTGTGATTTGCATGCTGGCTCTCCCACTGGCTGTGTGACACAGGGCAAATTGCTCAACATCTCTGAGCCTCAGACTCCCTGCAGCTTACCCTTCCTCCTGACCTGGCCTGGAGATCAGGGCCTTGAAGAGGGCCCTTCCCTGCCCCCACAGCCCTGAGGGAAGAGTCAGCCTCATAAATCCTCTCCACCTGTAATCCACATTGAATCCTCTCTGAAGCTTCATGCAGCTGGTTCATTATTATCCCATTTCCCAGAGGGAGAAAAAGAATTGCCACAACTCGACCCAGGCCCTGTATCTGCCAGCCTTGGTGGTCCCTCTCCACTCGGACATCCCCTTCCCCCGGGTTAGCTGGCCAGGTACCCGATGGCGTCAGGGGCACTACGGAGCCCCTCTGACCTGGGTCTCTCCCCTCTCTGTCAGTTCCGGGAGAACATCCAGGATGTGCTGTCTGCCCTGCCCAATCCTGATGACTTCTTCCTCCTGCGCTGGCTCCGAGGTGATGACAGAGGGTGGGGTGGGATGAGGGTCAAGGGCACAAAAGAGGAGTGTATTAGATATCAGTTGCTATGTAACAAACTACTCCAAAACATAGCCATTTAAAACAACCATAAACAGTTATTATCTCCCATGGTTTCTGTGGCCATTATGGAGAAATTACGGAGAGGCTTAGCTGGGTGGTTCTGGCTCAGGGTCTCTCATGAGGTTGTAGTCAAGCTGTCAGCCAGGGCTGCAGTCATCCGAAGGTTTGACTGGGGCTGGAGGATCTGCTTCCAAGATGTCTTAGATTTCTGGCAAGTCCGTGCTGGAAGGAGGCCACAGTTCTTCCTCATAGGGGCTCTTCTACAAGACTGCTTGAGTGTCCCTACAACATGGTGGCTGGCTTCCCCAGAGTGAGTGAACCAAGACAGCAAGGAGGAAGTGGTGATGTCCTCATGACCAAGCCTCGTGAGTCACATTCCATCATTTCTGCAGTATCAGGAGGCCACAGTTCTTCCTCATAGGGGCCCTTCTACAAGACTGCTTGAGTGTCCCTACAACATGGTGGCTGGCTTCCCCAGAGTGAGTGAACCAAGACAGCAAGTAGGAAGTGGTGATGTCCTCATGACCAAGCCTCGTGAGTCACATTCCATCATTTCTGCAGTATCCTGTAGGTTACACAGCTCAGCTCTGCACAGTGTGGGAGAGAACTAAACAGGGGTGTGAATACCAGGAGGTGAGGCTCACCGACAGCTGTCTTGGAGATGGCTACCACAAAGAGTAGGAATAATTACTACCACCTTTTGAGCACTTATTTTGTAGCAGGCAATGAGTAAAGAAATTTTTATTTATTATTTCCTTTCCTCTTCTTCTCCTTCTTTCACAACAACCCAATGAGGTAGGTACTTTTATTAGCCCAATTTTTGCATTGGAGGGAATTGTGGCTCAGAGTTAAGCCACTTGGCCAAAGTCACTGAGCTAGCAAGTGGCAAAGCCAGGTCAGTCTGACTTTAGAGGCCAATTGCGTAACATCTTCCCAGAGAAAAAGTTTGGGGACCAGGGTAGGAGGAGGTATGCTCTTGAGTTAAAGGTTGGAATCCCAGGAATCCAAATGCACAGACAGGTGACTCGTTCTCAGTGGCCTTAAGAATGTGGCCATAATTACCATGCTCAGACTCCTTCTGACAGTATAAGGCTGGAATTGATTTTGGCTGCTGTGAGGAAACCACCATGAAACCAGGTTGATCATCACACTTACCCCAACTATTGCAGAGGAACCAGGAACTCACATCCCTGCATGTATAGAGAGAGTCCAGAATACTTAATTTGTGATGAACAGCCTCTGTAAAACCTGTGAGGGCAACTTGCCTCTGAGCCCAGTGTATCATTTATGAAAGTTATGGTACATTTGCCAGCAGGATTTTCCAGCTCAAGGTCTTTGCTCAGGCAGTTTGCTCCACCTAGAATGCCCTTCAAATTGCCACCAAATCAGAAAAGAATCCCAACTGGAGTTCCAAAGATCTGATTCTAGTCACACTCATGATGCATAGGACCTGAGGCAGGACACTTCCTTCTGTTGGGCCTCAGTTTCCTCATCTGTTTATAAGGAACTAGACTCTCTCCCTTGCTCACCTTTTGAGGTTGTCCCGATGCCTAAGTAAAATCCATGGGGGGACCAGCCCTGAGGCCATGGGGACCATGTGAAGCCACTTGGTTCTCGCCAGCCAAGGGTGCTTAGTGGAAACACTGCTGAAGCAGTTTGGAAGTGGAGTGAGCCCAGAGGGACAACACTGACTCCTAAGAGCCAGGGAACAGCTGGGACAGCTGGCGCTGGCCTTGGAGCAGAGGACTGCACTACCAGCCTGCAGGGACTGCCAGGACCTGCGTGTTTTTCTGATTATAAAATCAGGGCATGTTAATCACAGAAAATCTAGAATTTGTAGAAAAAGAAAAAAGAGTGTTATACAAGTCACCCATAAACCCACCATGATCATGAGGTAATTTAAATATCATTTGTTAACACAATTGAGCTTATGTGCTCTATGCTGTTTTGTTCACTGATTATTTGGGGAACATTTCCCCAAATAATTAAAATTTTTCTTCTCTAATTTAGTTGGTTTCTCTCTCTCTCTCTCTCTCTCTCTCTCTCTCTCTCTCTCTCTCTCTCTCATTTAGTTGTAAGGCTGGGAATGTTCTGGGGGTGACTATGTTGTTGATTTAAATACCCCCCTATTTTCTCAGCTGGACAAAGTTGGTCCCATCTGCTTCATGAACAAGATGAATTATAGATCTAAAGACTGAAGAGTGGCTGGCAGTGAAGAGTTCTATTATTACATTATTTTTTAAAGAATTTTAATCACGTGAGGAACATCTGAACATATTCTCATTGTAAAAAATCCAAACCTTACAGATAACACTGAAACCTCCAGAGTCCCCAAAAGTAACATTTGTCACCAGTTTGTGCGTACTTTGCAGACTTTTTTTTCTCCAATATTTGTATTATGGTAAAATGCACACAACATAAAATTTACCAACTTAACCATTTTTAAGTGTAAAATTCAGCAGTATGAAATACACCCATAGTGTTGTGCAGATATGACCGCATCCATCTCCATAACTCTGGGGCCCATTAAACACTAACTACCCCTTGCCCCCTCCCCCAGCCCCTGGTCACCACTTTCTGTCTCTATGATTCTGACTGCTCCAAGTAGCTCATTTAAGTGGAATCATACAATATTTGTCTTTTTGTGACTGGCTTATTTCACTTAGCCTAATATCCTCAAAGTTCATCCATGTTGTAGCATGTGACAGGGTTACCTTTCTTTCTAAGGCTGAATAGTATTTCACTGTATGTATACATCACATTTTGCTTATCCACTCATCCATTGATGAACAGCTGGGTTGCTTTCACATTTTAGCTATTGTGAATGATGCTGCTATGAACATGGGTGTACAAACATTTCTACCAGACTCACCTTGCACTTTTTTCAATGCATTTCCACAGACACACAGAGAAATATTTATAAAATATAAACAATACAATAAAATAGAAGTACCCATAAAACACTATGTAATATGTTGGAAGTATTATTCTGTAACTCACTCTTTTCACCGGACAATGTGTATAGCTTGGAGATCTGTGCATATGAGCATGTTTTAATCCATTTCATCCTTTCTAATGGTTGCACAGAATTTCATAGTATGGAGGGGCCATCATGTATTTAACCAGCCCCCTAGGGATGGACATTTAGGTTGTTTTCAGTTTTTTGTTATTACAACCTTGTAAACTCAGTGTGGACAAATTTGTACACTCCCCTTTGCATAAGTGTGGGTCTTAAGGGCACCCTTAATTGAGAGGTAAGGAAACTGCACCCCGAGAGAGAAGGGACTGGCCTAAAGTCACACAGCAAGTTGGTGACAGTGTTGGGATATGATCTTTTGGTTTATCTTCATTATGTATTTTGAGTCATTCACAAGCTAAACCAGTGGTTCTCAAAGTACAGTCCAGGAACTCCTAAGGTCCTTTTACGGTACCCTTGAGGTCTAAACTATTTTCATCTTAACACTCCATCGTTACTTGCCTTTTTCACTCTCATCCTCTCAAGTGTATATGGCAGAGTTTTCCAGAGGCCATGTGATGTGTGGCAACATCATTGCTCTGAATCTAAGGGAACAGTATTCTTGTGCTTTAAAAATTCTCAATTTTTGGGCCGGCCCGTGGCTCACTCGGGAGAGTGTGGTGCTGATAACACTGAGGCCCCGGGTTCGGATCCCATATAGGGATGGCCGGTTAGCTCACTGGGTGAGCGTGGTGCTGACAACACCAAGTGAAGAGTTAAGATCCCCTTACAGGTCATCTTTTAAAAAAAAATAAAAAATAAAAATTCTCAATTTTAATTTCTAATATGGACAGATATAACCCAAATAAACAAAAGCTTATTAGCATCTTTGATGGTTTTTAAGAATGTAAAGGGCTCCTAAGGCCCAAAATTTTGTGACCAGGTGATTTAAACGTTTCTCAGCCTTGTGATTCTATCAGATTCTGAGGGTCTGCTCTCTTAATGACTTTTCTGGAACAGGAGGAAAAGGCTCCTAAGGCCCTGGCAGTGGCAGTAGATGTGGCAGGGACTCAATGAAGTGTTTCTCTGGACACCTTCTCTTCTTACCTTTCTGCTGGGTAGTGGATTCTCTCTCCACTTCTCACCACCACGAAGGCCACCAAGAGACGCCCACCACCCTCAGCCCAGCCTATGCCCAAGTCTTGCTAGGACACAGGGTACCTCAGCTCTTATCTGAGCCACACCGTGGCTCCCCGTGTGGAAAAGAGGACCCTCTGAGTAAGAGGAGGCAAAGATGGCCTGGAGAGTGGGTCAGCTCTCTCCAGACACCCAGAGCAGACCTCTAGAATTCCACAACCACAGCCCTGTCCCCTTATTGCAGCTCGGAGCTTTGACCTGCAGAGATCAGAGGACATGCTTCGGAAGGTAAGGGCAACACCTCCCCCAATCTAGCTCAGCCCTGTTTCCTAACCCAAGTCTGAGGCATAATTCATCCATATATCCATCCATCCATCCATCCATTCATTCATTCATTCATTCAGTCATTCATTCAGAGAACACCCATTTATTCAGCCCCGACAGCAAGCCTGGCCCTGTGCCAGGCACTGGGGAGAGTGCAGTAGTGGGGAGAGAGAAAAAGGAAACCAGATAAACAAATAAAGACAGTGTGAAAAGTACAATGAAGTTAGTAAAAGTGGGGAGGAAGGAAGGGACCTTCCTTTCAGCTGGGACATGAAAGTCCGAAAGGAAGCAGGTGTGTGAAAGCAGAGGCAGAGGGCACAGCCCATGCAAAGGCCCTGCTGTGGGAATGAGCTAGGTATATTCCAGCTGCACAGGGAGGTCATGCTGTAGAGAGAAAGGGGAGAGATGAGGCTGCTGGGTGGCCTGGGCCCATCAGCCAGGCCCTGCAGGCTTTGGAAGGGAGTCTAGGGTTTGGTCTAAGGGCGACTGGAAGCCAGAGATTAATGAGCCTCACTCCTGCTTTGCAGACTTATGGGGCCACATGGGAATGGAGCATGGGGAGTAGACAGAAGGAGGCAGGGAGAGGCTGCCATAGAGTGCAGGCCTCACCTGTTTCTTTCCAGGGCTCCCCTTCCCCATGTCCCCTCTGTCCCCAACCTCACTTCTATGTCAGTGGAGCCCGGGGATGCTCTGGCAGGCCCTCAGTGGATGCAGGCAGGGGAACCTGGCTCGGTGTCCCCAGGTCTCCACAGAGGCCTCTGGGGCAGACAGCACCTTCAGCTCCTGCAGTGTCTCTGTAGCACATGGAGTTCCGGAAGCAGCAGAACCTGGACAACATTCTGGCCTGGCAGCCCCCGGAGGTGAGCGTCCCTCCAGCTTGCCCCGCTCCACAGCGCCTGGTCCCAGGACACTGAGCCCCCCTCGTGTGCGTGCAGGTTGTCAGGCTGTACAACGCCAGCGGCATCTGCGGCCACGGCAGCGGTGGCTGCCCTGTCTGGTACCACATCGTAGGAAGCCTGGACCCCAAGGGCCTCTTCCTCTCGGCCTCCAAACAGGAGCTCTTCAAGGACAAGCTCCGGAGCTGTGAGCTGCTCCTGCGGGACTGTGAGCAGCAGAGTCGGAAGGTGGCCAGGGCCCCTCCCAGCCCACCTTGTTGCGGCCCCAGCACCCTCCAGGGCTGCCCTGCAGCACCCATGCATTCCCCGCTCCCTGAGCCCACACCCGGAAACTGTTTCCTGAGCTCCGTGGCTCCTCCTAGTACCGAGGAGTGAATGAGAGGCCAGGGAGTGACCCAAGGCCACACAGAACATATTAAAGCCGGGTCTCATTCCTCCCCTGATGGGTCCCAAAGCCCTGCTTACCAATCTGGGCAACACTACCCTCCAAGGCCTCATTGGATGAGAGCGGCAGATAGCTTAGCTTCACTGGTCCGAGGAGGAAACTGAGGCATGGACAGATGAGGGAGGGGGGCCTTGGGCCATTCCAGTCCTGGCCCTTGGGTGATCCCTTCCCTCCACCTGGCACAAAACCTCTATGCCAGGCAGAGCTGAGACAAGCTGGGCTTAAGCCGAGCCTCATCTTGGGTGGGGTGTGGGGGGCACTGACCCTCACAGGGTCCTGCCACCTGTCATTCCCTTACAGCTGGGGCAGAAGGTGGAGAAAATCATAGCCGTGTTTGATTTTGAGGGGATGGGCCTGAGGCATCTGTGGAAGCCAGGAATGGAGTTTGTACAGGAGGTGAGGTAACCCTGCCAGGGGTGCTGGGTGGTCCGTATGTCCTGGCCTCTGCCCCCTGCCCCTCACTTGCTGATGTGGGGCAGGGCTGGGGGGTGAGCACCCATCCACAGGTGCTGTTCGCAGCAGCTTACTTCTTGTTCGCAGGGATATTTTCAAACCCACAGCTCTCAGGGCTGTGCTAAATCAGACATGGCACCTCAGTGTTGCCATTTCATGCCCATCGGGTCACACCAGGCCTCATCCCCATGCCTGCCAGGGTCCCTACAGATGCCCCTCCCCTTCTCATACTCCCATCCTGCTTGTCCCCGACCCGCCCACTGGTCCTCCCCTCCACCTACCTCTCCCAGTACCTGCCTGTCCTCCTGCTTTGAGCCCTTGCCCTTCTGTCTGCTGTTTCTTTCGGGAGGGGCTGAGAGTAAGTCCCTTTGGGGGCTCTGAGCAGTGGAGGGAGGCTGCCAGGACCTGGACCCCAGGGCAGCCAGCCTACCTTTTCCTTTTTTTTTTTTTTGGTTGGGGGGGGGGGGGGGCGGCCCGGACCCGGGCCCCCGGGGGGCCCGCCTTCCTTTTTCTTTTTTTTTTTTTTGGTTGGGGGGGGGGGGGGGCGGCCCGGACCCGGGCCCCCGGGGGGCCCGCCTTCCTTTTTCTTTTTTTTTTTTTTTTTTTTTTTTTTTTTTGGTTGGGGGTGTGGTGTGGCTGGCTGGGGCCGGACCCAAACCCTTGACCTTGGTGTTACCAGGTTGTGCTCTAACCAGCTGAGCTAACCTGCCAGCCCTACCTTTTCCTTTCTGCTCCCCCCAGGATAGAAAAGAACCTAAAAATAAAAAGTTTTCTAAGAGGCTAAATCAATATTCTTACTATAACTTTTAAAGAAAAGGCCGCAAAAACATTACTCTAAGTTAAAGAAGCCATACACAAAATGCCACATATTGTATGATTCCCTTTATATGAAATGTCCAAGATAAGCAAATCCATAGAGACAGAAAGTCAATTAGTGACTGCCCAGGGCTGAGGGGAAGGGAAACGGACTGCTCGTGGATACAGGGCTTTCTTTTGGGTGATGAAAATGTTCTGGAACTAGATAGTGGGGATGACTGTACAACCTTGCGAATGTGCTAAAAACCGCTGAATTGTGCTCTTTGAAAGGGTAAGATTTATGATATGTAAATTATTCCTCAATTTTTCAAAAAGCCATGCTTGTAACTTTGAATATTGTGCTAAAAGGGGCTGGCCAGTTAGCTCACTTGGGAGAGCATGGCACTGGTAACACCAAGGTCATGGGTTTGGATCCCCGTACAGGCCAGCCACAAAAAAAAAAAAAAGAAAGTCTGCCTCATTCCTGAAGCTGGATTACTGTTCTAGCCAGGTGAGAGGGAACCTTTCAGAGTCCTAAATGGAATTTTTCTTGTCAGCAGTGGGTAGGGGGATGACAAGACTCTGCACTAGCTGCTTCAATGAGGGTCTGTGACTGGGACCCAACAAACAGGAAAATGGTAGCCTCTGCTTTGTCCCTGGAGGGGGTCTTGGTGTGTGAGTGTCAGGCAGCTTTGCATGGCTGACAGGAGAGGCCAGGGTTGTGCCCTTGGGGCCTTGAGGGTGGGTGGGAGAAGACACAAGGGGACATTATTAGATGCCTATGGCGTGTGCATTGACCTAGTTTGGTGCCACAGTTTTTCTCAGCACTTGAAGCAAATTACCCCGAGATTTTGAAGCATTTCATTGCTGTGAGAGGTGAGTGAACCAGCCCAGCGTACGCATGAATGGGGGGCAGGGGATGTGGAGCTGACAGGGTGGGCTCCCGAGAGACCCCAGACCCTGCTCCCCCAGCCAGCTGCCCAAGGGAGCGGCTCTGTGCCTGTTTCAGCCCCCAAGTTATTCCCCGTGGCCTTCAACCTGGTCAAGTCGTACATGAGCGAGGATACACGCAGGAAGGTGGTGATTCTGGGAGGTGAGTGAGCCTCCTTGGACCTCTTCCCCAGCGCAGAGGGCTGCCCCTCTGCAGACCTGAGGGTACCTGCAGCTGAGGGCATCAGCTCTGGGACCCAGCTAGTGTCAAGGGTTCACAGCTTTGTGACAACTGCTGAGGCCTTTGTGCCCACTCTCCAGAAGGCAGAGGGGCCAGGAGGGGTCTGAGAGACCCCCAGAGGCAGCATGGGTGGGGCCCCAATATGGGGTCGGCTAGTGTCAAGGGTTCACAGCTTTGTGACAACTGCTGAGGCCTTTGTGCCCACTCTCCAGAGGGCAGAGGGGCCAGGAGGGATCTGAGAGACCCCCAGAGGCAGCATGGGTGGGGCCCCAATATGGGGTCAGGAGATCTGGATTTGAGGGTCGGCTTTGCCAGTGATTAGCTGCAAGTGGGGTGAGTCACCAGCTCTGTGTGGGTCCTGGTTTCCTTATCTGTAAAATCGGGAGAATAAGATCCAGGTTTTCTAAATTATACAAAGTAATACAGGTTAGAAATTGGAAAATACAAAAATATATAAGGAAGTGGGGAGAATCCTGTCATCCAGAGAACTACTGTTAATACTTACTGTCTTTTTTCAGAGAAAACCATTAAAAATAAATAAAAATTGGTTTATACCACACATGTACCCTTTGTAACCACTATGGGATAAACATTTTTTCATTTTGGTAAAGTTGCCAGTTTAGGAGGTTTGTATTATTTTTACCATTAGGAGCAAGTCAGTAGTAAAGATCCTTCTAGATAAATCTTTGTACATATCCACAATTGTTTCCCTAGGATAGAATCGTAGAAATGCAGGCTTTTCTCCCAAAGAAGAATGCGCGCGTGTTAGGCTTTCTGATACACAGATCACAGAACTGAGCTCCACCGGCTGGGGACGAACGTGCCATTTCGCCACACTCTTGCTGCCACTGCCCATTCGTACTTTAAAACTCCTGCCATTTTATAATGGAAAATTACACTTATGATTGTTTTACATTGGGCTTTTTTTTTTATCTCTTGTGAGGATGTACTTTTCCTTTATGCTAGATGGCTATTTAAAATTTTTGTTTATTGCCTCCTTGTGTCTCATATCCATTTTCTAGAAAAGTATTTTTGTTATTGATTTATAAGTGCTCTTTCCTGTCTTAAGCATATCTACCTTTCTTGTCATATTTGTGGCAAAATTTTCTCCAGTTCATAGTTTGTGTATTATCTGATTTTTTTCCTTAGTGTTATATTTTTATGTAAAATTTGGAGCAGGCTTTTCCTTTGATTTTTCCCATCACTTTTGTGCTTCGGCAGTCCATTCCTATCCCAGGGTATACTGGGCATTCACGTCTGCTTTTTTCCTTCAATGACCTTGTTCCTTTGTCTGTTGAACACCCCTGGCCATCTCAGAGAAGCTTGAGAGGAAGCGAGGGTGCTGGAGCTCTGGCAGCCAAGGGCAGGGGCTGATTGGAAGGCTGAGTTCAGTCTCCCAGGAAAAGCAAAACCCAGGTCAGGGTCTGCTTTTCCTCAACCCCAGGCTCCAGGAGTTGCTGGTCCAAGTCCCTAGGAAGATGGCCAATGGGCCAACACCTGGACAGATGGGGGGCAGGCCTGGGGACAGGAACTGGTCAGCACAGGAACACAGGCCGAGCCCCAGGACTCAACTTCCTTCCCCAGGGGCAGGATTGCTTCAGCGATTGGGGCACCAGAAACATACCAGGGAGAGGAGCAGCTGGACACAGGACAGCACTGGGCTCAGCCCCCTCTGCCCTCTGTTGAGTCTCCTGAGCCCCCACGGTGTCCCCCTCTTGCTCCCACACAGACAACTGGAAGCAGGAGCTGACAAAGTTCATCAGCCCCGACCAGCTGCCTGTGGAGTTTGGGGGGACCATGACTGACCCTGATGGCAACCCCAAGTGCCTGACCAAGGTACAGGTGCCCGGAGCATGGAGAGGGAGGGGACACGGCCGTGGCTGAGTGCCCGCTTACAGTCCTCACCCACAGATCAGCTACGGGGGCGAGGTGCCCAAGAGCTACTACCTGTGCAACCAGGTGAGGGTGCAGTACGAGCACACAGTGC